TCAGGTCCGGGAGCTTTACAAGGTGCCATTTCAAACAAGTTCCGCTTAATTTCTTCTAAGGTTAGGGGCAAGTCGAGCTCGTTCCATTCCATGTCGGATAAAGTTGGAAAACAACCAGGCTGTAGAGGTTGGGGTTCGTCCCTGATTCTTTCGAAAAGAGACTAACAAAGTAGCTGCGTACATGATTTAGAAGTCTAGCGTGTTCCGTAATTTCTTGCCCATCCTCATCTATCAAGCTTTCAACTCTTGCATGGTTGCCTTTGACCGATGTTGCTGCATGGTAGAACCTTGCGTTCCTATCTCCGGATGTTATCCATTCCTCTCTTGATCGTTGGAACCAAATGAGTTCCTCTTGGTAGAGTGTTTCATCCAGTTCCATTCGCAATTTCTTGTCTAGTCTGATTAAGTCAGATCTAGAATTCTGGTTGATCCTTCGTTGTATGCGCTCTATCCTTGCTACAAGCCTTTTCTTCCTTTGAAAAACGTTACCAAAGGTGTCTCTATTCCAACTAGAGAGGGCTTCTGCCACCTTCCTCTTATTTGATTCTAAGTCAAGGCTTTTGTTCCAGTATGCTTACTTTTCAATACAGCATTATTCTCTTTCTCTCTATTTTTTTTTTTGTTCAGGCTGAATGCATTTTTTTTTTCTTTCTGACAAACACTTTTTTTTTTTTTTTTTTTTAACTTAGTTTCAAAGAATGATACTTAAAATCATGTATTAAATATTTTGTTAAAAAATAAAATTAATCTGCTTAGTATTCAACACCCCATCATTTTTTTTTTTCTGGATGAAATCAATTCTTTTTTCTTTTTGACAAAGCTTCTTTAAAAAAAAAAAAAAACTTAGTTTCAAAGAATGATACTTGAAATCATGTATCAACTATTTTCTTGTTTAATAGAGTTAATCTGCTTGGTTTTCAAATGACGGTTGTTCTTTTTTATATTTGTTCTGGTTGAAATAATTTTTTTTCCTTTCTGACAAAACAATTTTTTTTTCACTGCATTTCATTTGTTAGTTTGGCTAAGCCTTAACTGACTTATCTGCTTAGTTTTTTTTTTTTTTTTTTTTTTTTTTTTTTTTTTTTTTGTTTTTTGTTTTTTGTTTTTTTTTTTTTTATGTTGACTTATTTTATGTTTTTTGAATACCTATAATGTAAAGGGTATTTTTTTATTTTTTATTTTTGTTGGGATTGTTGATGTATGACATTGGTACACTTGAAAATAAATATATGGGTTTGTTCTGCCAAATATAAGTGGTGTGAATACAATATTTTAACATTAAGTTGAATTAGCTTAAAAAAAATACAATGTGATATAGTACATCGACTGCCTTGCTTTATAGTAGATTCTTCAGGACTTCATACTTCTAGCAACACTGTATAGTACATCCTGCAAAATTTTAAAGTGACAAAAACAATAGGCTAATCCTAAGGAATTTTTGTTAGATGAAGAGAACTGGTCCAGAAGAGAACTGTGTCACTGGACTATTGATTTCATCACCGGTAGACCCTCATGAAAAAAAAAATGATGTCAATACAGTTCTTTAAGTGTTTAAAAACAGGATGTCAATTAACAAACATAGGTTTAATTAAAGGTTATAGTAGCATTAAGACCTGATCAGAGTCTTCAGTTCCTTCATCATCTTCTTCAATTATCCTAGATATGAGGTCCTTTTTCTTGGTTATCATTGAGGTTGGAACAGTAGGCAGAAATTAAAGCTTCATCCCTTTGTATTCTCATGACATTATAAGCTGATTAGGGTCACACATTTGATCTTTTTTTTTTTTTTTTTTTTTTTTTTTTTTTTTTTTTTTGAATTTGAAACTTTAAAAATCAATGACATCCCATTTAGGGCCTCCAATTCTGGAGGAATGTCAACGTCAACCTATATAAAAGGATGACACATTAAATAAAAAACAGAAAAATAGTAACCGCAGATGTAATGTGTACTATTGGTTAATTCCATTGGAGTTTACCTATTGATACTTATCAAATAATAAGCCTGCTGGAACACCTACCAATTCAGCACACTCCCTATCCCATATTAGGAAGGGAGATCTCCTGTTTTATCCACCACTCTAACAGTAAGCTTATACCTTATTGCTCATTTCTACCACCTTTTTTCACCCTTACTACAATCTGATCATTTGCAATCCCCATCCTGTAAATGATCAGATTACAATAATTATTTATATAAAATAAACAATGATTCGCATGGTTTGTTAGTCTTAACAGATTAGTTATAACTCACCTCTTGATGCATAAAGATATCAGAGATGGTACTGACAACAACATTACCACTTCTAAAATCCCCAAGGCCAGTAGACTATGACAGAACTGTTGTAGTAGTGACCACCAAGAAGTTATTGACATTGTACACCTTGCCTTCTTAAAAAAAATATTGTGATATTTCTGCACTTCTACCTTTAAAATATTGGCACATATATAGGTTCCCTAAGAATTAGAAAAGTAAGATTATAAAACAGAGAATATTCAAAAAGCAAAAACAGAGAATATATAGTATATAGATTATAAAATTGCTCTTCGTATGATAAAACATCAAGTATTTTTACGGTCATACTTGTTTTTTTGAGGCAAATTTTCAATGAAGTACTGTTTGTATATCAATTTTTTTAATTGAAAAGTAACTACTCCAGTAAATAATTAATTTACACTTGCTTAAAGTAGATATTCATTCATATGCTGATATACTACCTAATGCTGAATTATAACTACATACATTGTCACTGAATCCAGCCTTAGATGTAATTACAAATAGTACACTCCAACATCCTTTTCTTAGCTTTAGGTAGTAAGGAATGTTGATATCACCATCTTTATTTTCGTAAATATAAAACAATAGATTAGTATACTATACAGAGGAATAATTAACAGTCAATAATAACTTAATGTGTTCTTACACAAGCAACTCAGTACTCCTCTTGCCTAATGGATGCACAGAATTAATCCTGCAAAAAGTATCAAAAAAGACAAAAGTACAAAAAAAGAAGTTGTAGTTCTTTAACATTATATAGACTATAAAAGTTGCAGTTCAAAGAGTTCAAAATCGTCTCTATCACCAAAATAATGGTGCTATAAGTAGCAGCAATTCTTCCCTTGAGATATTTGCATGGATATAGGTTCCCTAGACATTAGATGAAAGAAAGCACTTCTTGTAATTCTTGTAATCATAAAATAGATAGTATAAAATTGGAAATCTGATTTCAGTAGCATTAAAAAAAAATAACACCAAACCGGAAAATTGATTTTACCTATTCAGCATGAAATAAACATTCTTTACTTTCATCACTTGGCCTCCTCTCACTTCTTTTGGTACTTCATATGTTCGAACACATCTAACCCGTGTTGTTTTGGTGCAGAGTATTATGTTTTCTCAAGAATCTCAGGGTGTACTTCCGTATCTCATGACCTCTTTATATAGAGGTAGAGGTAGAGGTAGAATTGAATTTGGACTCTTAGAGAAAAACGAAGAGTCCTGCCTTGGAAGTTGGAACAATGAGAAATAATAATTAAGTTTGTTGCAAGTGTTCAATTAGATGGTATCACTTCAAATTTGTAATTTAAACATGCAGCCAATTCGCTTTCCAAGGCAATTCGAATAATGTGCTGTTTTCAAATTTATTGATCGGTAGTTTTCAATGCATTAATTCAGACAACTAATACATCATTAACTTAGTCTAAACCCGAGTACATAAAACGACGCAGTATAGCATATGCGGGAATTTTTTTTTGGTAGAAAGCTACCGCTTTATTATAATGATAGATTATAATAGAATTAAAAATTTTATATAGATAATATTTTAATATTATAGACATTTTTTTTATAGAGCACTAAATTATTGTATAAAGAGTATTATAATCCCCTTCACAAAAACAAAGAATATTATTATCTTCTTCAATATTATAGCTCTATACTTTTACGCTAATGGAATTAACAATATGAATTATAATATTTGATGCTTAGTATATTCTTTTGTACAAGAATATTATAAGATTCTAGTTACAGAATTAATAACAAGGATTGCATAATTCGATGCTCTATACTTTGGTACCTGAAGGATTATATTGACTCGGGAGGTCCGAGGAATAGCAATACGAGATAAGACAAATGTAATGCAATAGAAAAGACATGGAATATAATTCACGAATATACGTTTATATCAAGACAAGTGTAATATTACTACAAGAGAGCAGTGTTGCAAAAATCACGTCTAGGCGCTAGGCAGCGTCCAGCCGCGTCGATGAATGCCGGAATCGATTTTTTAAAGGATTATTCGCCAAAACAACGTCGTTTTAGTTAATAATACCAAAAATCTCAAAGGATCGCGAATTCAGCAGTCTCCGCCTCGCCGATTCTCATCTTCCTTTCACTTTCTTCCAATCCTCAATGACAAACCAACCTCAATTCGTAGCATTTCTATTTTTCAAGATCTTGATCACATTAATTAGTAGTTTTTCTCCGTGTCATCGTCGTACGGGAACGACACTAACGGAGGAAGTGGAGTCCTAAGGGCTCCAATGTTGAGATTCAGCACTAGAGCATGGTGGCAAGCGAAGAGAAGAAAAAATTTCTATATTCATATTATGATTGCTACATTAGAATTATGAGTTGTTGACCTTTTATTTGCATATTCAAATTACGATTGGTGTATTATTTATGGTTCCTAATTCTCTATCATTATTTTTAGTCAATAAAATATAGTTTACTTTACAAATTTAAAGCATTGTTAAATATCTATATTTTATAAATACCCAATTCTAGAGAGTTCTTAATTATGTTTAAGCATCTCTACAAAATGTCTTTTTTACGTTCTAGTCTAGTTTTGCATATACTTAGTGAAGTGTGTCTATAATTTTATTATTCTAGAAATATGTCCATGACTCTTTCCAATACTATATGACATGTTAAATTTTTAATCGTTCAAATGTTATAAAAATCACGACAATAATCTATCGATTAGACACAAACCATTTGAATAGGCTCAAGTATAATGAATTTTCATATTTTTATTGAATTGGATAATAAAGACCAAACAACATAATAAGTTGAGAGGTTTAGGTTTGGATTGCTAGCAAAAGCAGTGACAATATACTTTTGAGCTTATGCTTTTGCATTTGCCTCCTTTGCCGCAATTACTTTGCAAGCAGCGTTGATTACAATCTCCGTCGTTACATGGTCCAATATTATTGTCAAAGCAGCAATTGAGACCGCTCGTTACTTGAACAATGTCTGATGAAAAAAAAATCAAACAAAGAAAAGAATGCAAATTAAAATTGGTCATGTTTTTATCATAATTATAGATCAATTCGATATTTTGATTTCATTATTGTTACATTGTCTTTTTAAAATAGTTTTTTACAATTATTTTTTAATATTTTATTGCACGAATAAAAAGTGTTTCAATTGATAAAGTAAATTATTAAGAAATAGTCCTAAAAAATAAATTGCAATATATAAATTCATATACACATAAGATATAGCTAGAATAATTTCAATATATAATAGGAATAAACCTGATGAGATGACGAACACCACAAGAAGGATGGTTAACACACCCGACTTGGCCATTCCTAACAAATATATGTAACTCTTTATAAATTTGATTTTCTTCGCTATTTATAATTATGTGGTCACTCGGTTCGTTTTTATAGGTAATATTATAATGTATAATTACCTTATGTAATACGATTATCTCTAAAAGGTAAAAAAAGATTATGAGAATGCAAAATCACCTAATGTGATTGATTGCATATTGGGAAAGTTATATTAAATATTATGGTTAATGATTATGTTTAACGGTAACAATTCCTTTTTTTTTTTTTTTTTTTGAAACTAATGGTAACAAGTTCATTTAAAATGGAAAATATATATTCATAAAATTGAGATATTCTATTTAATGGTAACAAGTTCTTTTACAATGGAAAATATGTATTCATAATAAATTGAGATATTCTGTTTAAAGGTAACAAGTTCATTTAATATGTGGTTAGTCGGTTTGTTTATATAGGTAATATTATAATGTATGATTACCTTATGAAATACGATTATCTCTAAAAGGTAAATAAAGATTATGAGATTGCAAAATCACCTAATGTGATTGATTGCCATATTGAAAAAGTTATATTAAATATTTTGGTTAATGATTATGTTTAATGGTAACAAGTTTTTTTTTTTTTTGAAACTAATGGTAACAAGTTCGTCTAAAATGGAAAATATATATTCATAAAATTGAGATATTCTATTTAATGGTAACAAGTTCTTTTAAACCGGAAAACATATATTCACAATAAATTGGGATATTATGTTTAATGGTAACAAGTTCTTTTAAAATGGAAAATATATATTATACAATTGAGATATTCTATTTAATTTATATATATATATATATATATATATATATATATATATATATATATATATATATATATATTGAATTCATTTCGGCCCGGAATTATCCTCATTTTTGAATTCATACATGAAAATTCAATTCTTTATCGCGTGTTATTATTTTAAATTTAAAAACTTGTTTAATATAAATTTTTATTTGTTCTAAATTTCAGTTAAAAAAATTAAAAATTTAAATGGTTTTGATGTTCTACACAAAGTATCTATAATAAAAAAATATTTAATTAATAATATGATAATTTAATTATAATTAAATTTATTCTTATTATATAGAATTAATGGTTTCTATTTAATTTAATATTTTAATAGAGCATATATATATATATATATATATATATATATATATATATATATATATATATATATATATATATATATATATATATATATATATATATATATATATATTTTGATGGATATATTGGACCCGGAACGAACCGTCCCGGAAGAGACGGACCCGAGAAGTCCCTCGGCCCAGTCAAGTGGGCCGTGGCCGAGTCGGCCCAAGGCATCTCGGCCTTGGGCCGAGTCCGGCCACGGGTGGGCTCAGTACACCCGAGCCCACCACCATGGACCCGGGCACTACCGGGCGGGTCCATGGTGGACTCGTGGACTCGTCTAGGCCGAGCTCGACAGCTCGGCCATGCCGAGTTGCCCGCCTTGGACCCGGTCCCGGGGGGACGCGGTCAAGGCGCGCCGACCCAACTAACCCCGATTCTAGGGGTGTGGTTGGGGGGTTTTGAGCTGATATAAAAGGACTCCCTCTTGTCCTAACAAGGGACCTGATCACGACACACAACACAACAGATTCCTGAATTGCTATCTTCTAGCCTTATTGTCCTAATCAAGCCTTGTAATAGCTTATTAGCGATAATTAATACAATATATGGTCCCTGCGACCTACTGTCCCTGCGACCTACGGTCCCTGCGACCTACGGTCCCTGCGACCTACGGTCCCTGCGACCTACGGTCCCTGCGACCTACGGTCCCTGCGACCTTATTATATCTCTGCGTCGCATTATTTATTTCGTACGTATACTTATCTGGGTTTAATAATTCGGGCTACCCCCGGGGAATTAAATCCATCATTGGTGCTCTTGTTGAGAGCTGCTGTACCAGCTCAAGCGTATTCTATATTTAGTGGTCTACCACGACCTGCTACCATGACGAGATCGAGATCCAACTCTCACCACACCAACGGTTCCCGCGGCACCCAGCTCGTCACAAACGGGAACGGCCCCAACGGGGCCCCCAGCCTCCAACCGGCCGCCTCCACCAGGTCGGGGACTTGAGAGATCACCTCACCAACCATCGCAGCGGTGGGGTGCCAGCTCCCATCGCCCCTCCTCCAAATCTCGCTCCGCTACAGGAGGTGGCGGTTACCTTTTAGCAATCCTCTACGACTTTGGTTCACCTCACAGAGGGTCCCCAAGGAGGTGCGCACGACGGTCTGGAGGCCACACAAAGGATGCCGACCCCGCCTCCACCTCCCTCAAGGGGCGCATCGGCCCAAGCACCCGGCTACCCCGGGCACTCAACACTCAAATTGAAGAGGATGTCAACTCACCCCGACCATTGGACACGCGGGGAGGGGGTGACATCCGACAAGATCACCATCGCCAAGCCGCGGGCCCCGATCTCCGCCGCGACCCGAGTAGGCCTCCCGAGATGAGAGGTCGGGAAACAAATGGTCGAGCTCCAAGCACCAATCGTGACGAGGTCGAACAGCTCCGTAAGCGAATAAACAAGCTCCCAGAGGGGATGGTCGCGCCACAACAAGCTACCACCTTGTTGACCCACCCCGTTGAGGGGCTCCAAAGAGGTGTCCGAAATCATGTCCCCGAAGGTCGCCAAGCCGCGGGCACCGAGCTCCGCCGCGACGCGAGTAGGCCTCCCGAGCTGAGAGGTCGGGAAACAAATGGTCGAGCTCCAAGCACCAATCGTGAAGAGGTCGAGCAGCTCCGTAAGCGAATAAACGAGCTCCCAGAGGGGATGGTCGCGCCACAACAAGCTACCACCTTGTTGACCCACCCCGTTGAGGGGCTCCAAAGAGGTGTCCGAAATCATGTCCCCGAAGGTCGCCAAGCCGCGGGCACCGACCTCCACCGCGACGCGAGTAGGCCTCCCGAGCGGAGAGGTCGGGAAACAAATGGTCGAGCTCCAAGCACCAATCGCGAAGAGGTCGAGCAGCTCCGTAAGCGAATGAACGAGCTCCCGGAGGGGATGGTCGCGCCCCAACAAGCTACCACCTTTTTGACCCACCCCGTTGAGGGGCTCCAAAGAGGTGTCCGAAATCATGTCCCCGAAGGTCGCCAAGCCGCGGGCCCCGAGCTTCGCCGCGACGCGAGTAGGCCTTCCGAGCTGAGAGGTCGGGAAACAAATGGTCGAGCTCCAAGCACCAATCGTGAAGAGGTTGAGCAGCTCCGTAAGCGAATGAACGAGCTCCCGGAGGGGATGGTCGCGCCCCAACAAGCTACCACCTTGTTGACCCACCCCGTTGAGGGGCTCCAAAGAGGTGTCCGAGCCCTCTTGCTTGGCCCCGACATCTCTCGAGGGGTGCCTACATTTACCCCGCCCCTCCTAAGGGGGCGTGATAGGTCGAGCACCCGGCTCTCCCGAACCCCAGGAGCTCAAATATTGACATATGTTCTTATTAACCCATGGTTGCGGTCGTGCGTGCCGCCCCCGACCTTGGCATTTACCTAACGGTAGTACATGGGGGACGCCCCACTCACTACCTAACGGAAGAACATGTTGTGGGTTGCTTGCCCCTTGACAAGGTCGAAGCCAAGCCGGTGGGGAGAACCTACATAGTTCCCCGTGATATACGCTACAAGAAGTCCTCCAATGACACATTGCTACATTAGGTGTCAGTCATAGAGGAGGTCCACAAAGGGACCTGCCCGGTCCACCAGGATGTCCGTCCCCTCTAATGATGTTTTAAGAGGTGGAGCATCCCCTCCAAAGATGTTGCAAGAGGTGATCCGTCATCTCTAACGATGTTTCAAGAGGTCGTCTGTCCTCTCCAATGATGTTTCAAGAGGTGGAAGGTCTCCTCCAACGATGTTTTAAGAAGTAGAGCGTCCCCTCCAAAGATGTGGCAAGAGGTGGTCCATCCTCTTCAATGATGTTCCAAGAGGTGGGACGTCTCATCCTACAACGTTTTAAGAGGTGGAGCGTCCCCTCCAACGATGTTTCAATTCCCTCCATCGATGTTGTAAGAATCGAGTACTCACCCGACCTCCCCAAGCGTACCCTAAGGGGCACAAGGTCCGACCTCGCGTACCAACCCCGACGGAGGAGCCCGGTGGCTTAGTCCAGGAGGACTAGGCTCATGCGGGTAACATACCCTAAGGGGGCACGAGGTCCAACCTCGCGTACCAACCCCGACGGGAGAGCCCGATGGCTTAGTCCGGCAGGACTTGGCTACCGGGCTCCTCCGTCGGGGTTGGTACGCGAGGTCGGACCTCGTGCCCCTTAGGGTACGCTTGGGGAGGTCGGGTGAGTACTCGATTCTTACAACATCGATGGAGGGAATTGAAACATCGTTGGAGGGGACGCTCCACCTCTTAAAACGTTGTAGGATGAGACGTCTCACCTCTTGGAACATCATTGAAGAGGATGGACCACCTCTTGCCACATCTTTGGAGGGGACGCTCTACTTCTTAAAACATCGTTGGAGGAGACGTTCCACCTTTTGAAACATCATTGGAGAGGACAGACGACCTCTTGAAACATCGTTAGAGATGATTGTCCATTCAAAACGCCAAGTCAATACAATGTGCCCACCTCCCGGAAGCAAGAGCATAAGGTGTGGCCACCTCCCAGAAGCAAGGCATAGAGTATGCCCACCTCCCGGAGGCAAGAGTGTAAGGTGTGCCCACCTCTCGGAAGCAAGAGCATAAGATGTGCCCAACTCCGGGAGGAGAATCATGCTTATCGAAGCAAGGTACAAAAGGACACACCCCCCGGAGGGGGCCATAAGATTTGCCCACCTCCCGGAGGGGAGACATAAAATATGCCCACCTCCCAGAGGGGAGTCATAAAATGTGCCCACCTCCCGGAGGGGAGACATAAAATGTGCCGACCTCCCGGAGGAGAGACACAAATGTGCCTACCTCCGAGAGGAGAGGCATGTTAGGAAAAGTACAAAGTTGTGGAGCGGAAGAAGGAACCCATATGATAAAGAA